GATCATTGTAAAGAAAGAAAATGTTTTCACACTAAACAGCTTTATGTTTTTTTAAACTAAATAAAAATGATGGAGTTTGTATTCCCTCACAAAAGAAAGAAGTTGAATCAAGTAACTGTTTATATTTTGACCAGCAGGTGGCAGCAGAGGTTTATTTTAGATCAGATTTAGCTGAAGAGGATGAAGTTTTTCTTTCAGGCAGTTCTACAAACTATGTGATTTATTGAGAGAACTAAAAACAACCGAATATTAAAGATTTATTGTATTCCAACCACATCACCGCCTGAATATATCTATGAACCAATGAATGATTTTGTGCTTCAAATATTGTAAGAAATTCAAGACATTTTATGAGGAAGTACTTTTATATGTTTAATAACACAAAAGTTTTTTGCATTACTGAAATAGATTGTGTCTCAATAGACTTTAACATTTGAGGCAGATCAAACTTTTTTTGTTCAGACTTTAGCTAAATTAAATCACCCATGGAAGTCAATAATGTGATTATCTGTAGTGTTAGCAAAATATCTCATGAACCAGCCAAATGATTTTAATCAAACTCTCAGGAAGTAATTATGGGATGAACCACTAAAACTAATCAATTTTTTAAAATACTCTGAAGTTCATAAGTACATAAAACATTTAACGACTGTTGTGGATGACTCTCAGCTACTTCCACACCAAATTTTAGTTCAGTATGTCCAAAACTGACTGTGTTGACAAAGTTCACTAGATGTTCTTTCAATTTCTTACTTTTTATTTTGAAAATTGTATTTAAATTGTTTTAATGAGATACAGTTGATGCTGATCTGTTAGTCCTCAGTATGTCATCTGGATGAGTCTCAGCTACTACCACACCAACATTTAGCCCAGTACTTGTAAATGTGAGTTCTAGCTATTTTTGTGTTTGCTGAGTTTCCAAATCTGCTGCAGCCATCTCGAATCAGGTTAACTCCAAACGTTCATCATTTGTAGAAGTAAGTTTAATAATGACTTATTTGAGAGTTTCATGAAAATCCATACACTGGTTAAAATAATATTAAGCTAACAGACAATTACACACTCTGAAACAGCCTTTATGATACCAACATCTATAATTATTACTACTACTAACTATACTCGCAATATGAACTAACTACTACTACCAATTACATTAATATCTACCACTACTACAATATTACTATTAACAGTTACTACAATACTAACAACTAAAAAAATACCACTCTTATATTATTAACTACACACGTATTACTACCAGTAGTAACTACAATACTAACTTTAAATGAATAACTACTAACATATAGTAATAACTACAAATTACTACTACTAACTACAATACTATAAACAAACTACTGCTACCACATTATAAATAAATGTAGTTACAACCATGCTAACTATAAATACTACTGKTACTATTACAACTATAAACTAATAACTGCTACAAATACATTACTAATAAAAATAAAGTTACTGATTATACTATCTATAAACTAACTGCTTCTACTCATACACATTGATCATGAATGTATATTTCTTGTAACTGATTTTTTTTCTGTGTAAAATATTTGGTTTTGATGTGTTCCTGAATATTTAACTTCTTCTCAGGGTGAAACATTACTTTTTTAAAAAAAGAAAACATAAAAAACTACAAAGAACCGAGAAAAAATGTACCTTTTCAAATGTACACTTTATTTTAAACAAAAGTACAAAAAAAACAAAAACAAAACAAACAAAAAAAAAACATCAGATATTTACAATACTTGCATGGCATGTTCACTTTCTTTGGTCTTTTTTACCAATTTGATGAATTTCATTTTTATTATTTTTCCACACAAGGTAGGCAACAAACAGCAGCTCCGAGACGTGAGGTTATTACATGCTGGGAACTTTTTTCTTTTTTGTTTCCACCAGATGCTGAGCAAGCTACCGACGATTTAATTACATTTTTTTTAAAGGTCCGCAAGCAAATTTATGGACAGTTTAATTTCAGGACAGATCAAAGCTGAGATATGTGAACAGTTACAGAAAAAAATGCCCACCAGGATATTTAATCTCATACGATATAAATAGCATAAAGAAAATAAAATTCACACACTTCACAACTACATCCTGGCCTTGTCTTGGTTTTCGATTTTAGCAAAAATGCTCTTTAATGGGACCAAAAAAAAAAAAACTGGTGAAAGCTGCATGTATTTCATCATATTCTACACAAATTAGACATAAAAACATGAAGCCTACGTCACAAACTGAAGTAATTACAGGTAGGTTTTCAAAAAAGAAGGCAGAGGCTACTTTTAGACACGCGTCCTTTCCTCACAAACAGGTGGCTATATAAACAATCATTCCTCAACACTGATGGGGCTCAAACTAATAACATCAGACTTAAAACCACATTTCAGGTCCTTTGAAGCCAGGCTCTGTGGAAACGACACAACTAATAAGTATCTTACCTGTCATAAATAGTTTTTAAGCATTTCACTGATGGGCTAATGGCTAGTCTGAGTGAAGTCTAGCTTAAGAATGGGCTGCTGCATCTCAAAACAATTGTTTTATGTGAATATTGTTTAAATACACTTGACGTCGCCTGGAAGTGCTACAGCTAGCTGCTTCCGCCTCTGTTTGCATTTCTGTGTAATATCAGACTTCTGTTAGAAACCATCTTAATGCAAAACTTACGGTAAATACTTTTAAAGGGGCAATATCATGTAAAATCAACTTTTTTGAGTTTTACATCATGTTACAATGTTATACTCTCATTAAAAAACATGCCCAAAGCCTTGCTTTGACTCATTCATGCATGTTTGAAAAATCCTGCAGCGTTTTTAGGAAGCCATGCTGAGGAGCAAAATGACAGGTGGGGACCAGAAACGCCTTTTGGTACCAGAAACGCCCCAGGGGCGTGTCTTTAAGCCGAGCTTCCTCATGGCGGAACCCCCTCGCCCATGACTCCTGCAGGCTCTCGGGTGAAACTGAAAGTGAAACTTAAACTGTCTGCTGAGCTCCACTACTTCTCACTCAGCGAAGCTCTTTTCAGATTAACAGTGGTGGGCACCAGTCTGCTAAAGCGCAAATCTGCTAAATGCAGACCTAAATATTTCATTTGCACTTTAGCGGTCTTACTAATTTTTCTAACTCATAAGCAGATTTGCACTTTCTAAAATTAAAATGCAGTACCGCCAATACCTAATTATCTACCAGTCATCGTTATCTTGAACAGCGGGAGGTACGGCTGTCAATGAATCACAACACACGTGATCTATCCAACAGCACCCCTCCCAGATAAACACACTTATTGAGAAGGTATACATCCTTGCTGACTGTTGCTTTCGGTCAGGGTTCTGATTTCCCACAATGCTTTGCGTCTGCTTACGTAGCAGGAAGGCAGTAGCAAAAGCAGTTAACGTTTGTAATCCATACTAAAATTTTGAAATTTTGTATGCATTGACTTATTTTAATTTACAATCGGAGCTCCTTTTAAAAAAAGTTTAAACGCTGGAGCTCAATACTTGACGTAATTGGTCGAAGCAACGGGGTTAGAGACGCAGAAATGATTTAAAGATGTTATGCTGGTGAAGACAGACATCTAGTGGTCAAGTGGAGCAACTACATGGAAAACTTTAAAATCTAAGCTCTTATTTTGAAGGGAAGATAAGTTTCCTGTACTGTGTGCTTTCGTTTCCCGTCACAAATCAAATCCGTCATGTACCCAGAATGCATCGCTTCAGTTTTC